TACAAAGAAGAGCCCAGGCACAGACGGATTCACTGAAGAATTCTACAAGAAATATAAAGAAGACCTAATGCCAACACTCTGCAAACTCTTCAATGAAATGGAAAGTGAAGCAATCCTTCATAAATTGTTCCTAGAAGCAAATATTACTCTAGTACCAAAACCAGAGGAGGACCCAACTGAAAAAGAGAACTAAAGACCAATCTCCCTAATGAAGAAGGATGCAAAAATCCTCAATAAAATTTTGGCAAATAGGATGCAGCAAATAAGAAGATCATATATCACAATGAAGGGGGATTCATGCCAGGAATGCAGAGATTGTTTAATATATGTAAATGAATAAATGTAATACACCATATCAATAGAGAGAAAAGTTATAATCACATGATCATTACTATAGATGCAGAAAAAGCTTTTGATAAGGTCCAACATTCATTTATGATAAGAACCTTGCAGAAAATTGGAATAGATGGTCCTTACCGCAATATAATTAAGTCCAGCAATGACAAAACAATAGCCAGTGCCATACTAAATGGTCAAAAACTGAAGGCCTTTACTTTAAAATCAGGCACAAGACAAGGATGTCCCTTATCACAGCTCCTATTTAATATACTACTGGAAATACTGGGCAGAGCAATTAGACAAGAGAGAGAAATAAAAGGCTTAAAGATAGGAAAAGAAGAAGTTAAATTATCATTATTTGCAGATGACATACTTTATATAGAAGATCCCCAAAGCTCCATTGAAAGACTCCTAGATATAATAAATTCAGTAATGTAGCTGGATAGAATCAATACTCAAAAATCAATAGCATTCCTATGCACTAACAACAAAGTCACAGAGACAGAAATAAGAGAGGCCACACCCTTCGCACTAGCAACCAAAAAAATGAAATATTTAGGAATTACTCTCACAAAAGAAGTGAAAGATCTATACAGGGAAAATTATAACACACTGAAAAATGAAATTGAAGATGATCTCAGAAAATGGAAAGACATCCCTTGCCCATGGATAGGAAGAATAAATATTGTGATAATGGCCATTCTCCCAAAACTTTTATACAGATGCAATGCAATCCCGATAAAAATACCATCAACATACCTCAAAGAACTTGAGAAATCACCCCTAAAATTCATTTGGAATGAGAAGAAACCTACAATAGAAAGGACAATTAGAAGCAGCAAAAGCAAGGCAGGAGGTACCACAATCCCTGACTTGAAGTTATACTACGAAGCAACTGTAGTACAATCAACATGGTATTGGAATTGAAACAGAGCCGAAGATCAGTGGAATAGATGAGAAGATACAACCACCACTACAAACTAACACTTATCTTTGATAAATGGGCCAAACATGTTCACTGGAAAAATGACTTTCTGTTTAATAAATGGTGGTGAAAAACTGGCTCTCCATATGCCTAAAACTAAAACTAGATCCATGCCTATCACAATGTACTAAAATAAAATCTAAATGGATCAAAGATCTAAATATTAAAACAGAAACACTAAATCTATTGGAAGACAAATTGGGTAAAAACCTTGAAGACATAGGAGTAGGTAGAGAATTGATGAACAGGACTCAAACCGTATGGGAAATGCTTCCCAGAATCAATAATTGGGATCACCTCTTATAAAAAAGTTTCTGCACATCAAAAGAAATCTCCAGTATAGTGAAAAGAAAACCCACAAACTGGGAAAAAGTCTTAGTGAACTGCCCCTCAGACAGAGGACTTCTGTCTATAACATATAAAGCATTTTAAAAATTGAGACCACTAAAATTCAAAGACCCAATCCAAAAATGAGCATCTGAGATGAATAAACAATTTTGAGATGAAGAAATACAAATGACAAATAAATACATGAAAAACTGTTCACCATCAATGGTCACTAGAGAAATGCAAATTAGAACCACACTGAGATTTCATCTCACTCTTGAAAGAATGGTCAAGATCAAGAAAACCACCAACAACAAATATTGGAGATGCTGTTGGGTAAAAGGAACTCTTCTGCACTGTTTGTGGAAGTGTAGACTGGTGCAACCATTGTGGAGATCAGTCTGGAGATTTCTCAGAAAGCTGGGACTGGAAGCACCTTTTGACCCAGCTATTCTACTTCTAGGCATATTCACAGAAGAACTGAAAGCATCATTCCACAGTGATATATGTGCACCCATTTTTATAGCAGCACAGTTTGTAATAGCCAGATCTTGGAAACAACCTAAGTGTCCATCAACTGAGGAATGGATAAAAAAGTTATGGTGTTTTTATACAATGGGGTATTACTCAGCTATAAAGAATGATCACATTGACATATAAATAAATAGATGCAGACTGAGACCATACTCATAAGTGAAATAAATCAAACTCACATGTATAAATACTGAATATATTCCCTAGTATAAGAAATGATAATACATACAAGTATGTGGTAATCATGATACCCAATCATATTGGTTTGATTCCATATAATGCTTTCACTCATTATGTGCAATGGTTTTACCCTGGGTTTTTTGATTTTAGTATCGGTGATAGTACGAATAGCTATTCTGAAGAAAATAACACATCATAAAAGCAAGTGCTGATTTAATATCATCTTCTTTGGAACTCCCATCAAGCTGTTGTACATGTTACCACTGGTTTTGACATGTTGTATCTTAATATATTTTACTGTATGTGATAGTATAAATAAAAGTTTTCACAGGCAAAGAGATAATATAGAAATCATTGTTCTTTCTGTTAACTGGCTCTAAATACCCTGTAATTCTTTCATTCTCTTGAATGGCTTCACACTGTCTAGATATGATTGATTCTATAGTATACGAAGTTATATTCAATTCAAGGAAAGACACACTATGGTGACTAATATTATGTTAGATTATGTGTTGGTGAAACAAAATGCTTTAATTGTGCAGTTCTGACCTGTGTTGTTCTATTACAATGTCTCTTTTATCTCAATCTCCACCCTTTAAAAAAATTATTCTATTTTTTCTTATTTTTTTCAATTAGAAAACTAAATTTAAAAATAGTGGGATATATTATAGTAACTTTTTTGTTTTCCTATTAACCTGATTTTAATCCCAGTATTGCTCTCCCCATCTTGTTCTGCCTGATTTTACTATATTCTATTTTGTTTGATAGTATGAAGTTTGAGGTTATAGGCAACCATTTTGTAGGCAATAAGATTTACTATGATGCCCATTATGGTTTGACTATTATGTCTTTTGAAATCCTGTAAGGTCTCCAGTGTAGATTTTATTGGTCTTGTTCTGTACTGTTTTGATCAATTCTATTATACCTGATGATATAGCAACTCTTTTTAAAAATAGCAAGAGGCACAATGATAACCATTTTTGATCACCTGATATTCTATTTTTGCATCAGGTACTATGCCCATCCTTATGTTCTAACAAACTCTGTTTTGTTAACTCACTTGAGCTTTTATAATCTTCAAAAAGAGTAATAAGAACTATAGGAGTAAAAAAAAGAACCCAAAAGTGTAATTGTTATTGTGAAGAAGAGAGGAAAGGAAGGTGGTCTAAGAGATATAAGTGCCTGTTTGAGTGTGTAGGAAGGAAAATCATATTACTGAGCTTTGTTGGTTCATTGAGTGCAACTGTCTGGAATCTCGCTGTAGGAATGTTCACTTTATATGCTTTAATTTTATAATTTGGACAACTGTTTCTAATTAGACAATATGTAACCTATTAACTAGTGATTTCTTACTGTATTTTTTCTTGAAATTCTGGATGATTTGTATCCTTTTACTGCTTTCTTTTTTATGTTCTTTTTTTCTCTATAAATAAAAAAATTAAACCTGGAATTTATATCTTTTATTTATTTTTTGGTACTAGGGATCACACTGATTACCTAACACTTGCCAGGCAGGGGCTTAAGCCACTGAGCTAAATCCCCAGCCCCCCAATATATATCTTTCACATTTATCATCTTCAGAGTAGTTGCCTCTACTCTTGGACTTGATACCAGCAAGCATACCAAATGTGAATAAAATCAGTCAAGGCCAAATAACATTCAAACACCAGCTTCCAATAAGATCAGTCATAGTAAGACAATGTAAGTAATACAGTGTTTCAGTTTTAGTGAATAGGAAATTAAGGACAGTTACCATTATGGTATAACCTGCTATTTTTGGGTTACCTCTCTGTGCCCTCAAATCTAATATGAGTAGACAGACCAGAACAAAATATAATCAAACTAAACAGAGCAACAAGAATACTGTAGCTTTTAAATCCTGATACACTTTTAACAATGTCCTTTGCCTTCTTTTTTTAGGCAATTCCTCACCTTTCTCCTTCTCAGGATACTATTATTCACTGTTCAGAGTGATATTAGTTTAGTCTCTTATGTTCAGTTTCAGCATACATAAAAATAAAGACATCTACTACAAAGAGAATGAGACACATTATGGTAATCATTATCATCTTCCCCAAAATCAGTCTTGAAGATCAAAAAAGCCTGCATCATCCTGTAATTATTTGATTAGTTCTATAATGTTCAGTATATATTCAATGCTTGTGAAGATGGGAACAACTATTTGGAAGAAAACTAGAGACAGTAAGATAGACAATGAACATCTCAGGGGACTTGCTTTGAAACCTGTGTTTCCTTAACTTGTTTCCTTATGCACTGTTTTGTTTTGTTTTGTTATGTTTAATCTTACCGTCTTTAAGATAAAAAACAAGTTTGTAGAACATATAAGCATGTTAACAAGTTTTTGTTGGATTAATGAGTTAAATTGTTCGCAGTGTCATTATTTGAATATCACTTTGTATGCTTTAATTTTGTAAGTTGAACAATTAACTCTAAGATGACAACATGTAATTAATCAACTAGTGATTTCTTATTGTTTATTTTTCAGAAATTCTGTATTATTTCTACACTTTTTGGTTTTTTTCTTTAAACAAAAATAATTCACCAAAAATGTGAAAATTAAGTTTTAAAGACAAAATGTTAAATACATAGACACTATACATACTTGAAAGTGAAAATCACATTTCAGTTTACCATGTTTATTTACAAGATGCCATGTTGAAGCACAAAGACACATTAAAAAACTAAAGAGGTATAAGTGATTAACTGAAAACCATACAAAATGTGTACTTGAGTAGAGCTCCACTTCAGATTTGTCATTTCTGGAAAATTTGTCAAGAAATATTGACATCAAACTTCTGTATTGATTATTTCTTCAGGTCTACTTGGAATTTTTAAAATAAACTTAGATCTAAACTGCCTGGAGTGCTGCTTTTTCTATGTATTTAACAACAAACATGGATTGCCGTATGTCTCACACTGTTAATACACATAGGATCCAGTGAGCTCTTTCAGATATGTAACAATGATCATGTGTGCTGAGAGTATTCCCATAACACATAGGATTTATCTCTTGTGTGAGTTTCTTCATGTATTTCACTTACAATTTGGATGCTGAAATTGTCTCCACTTGGTTACGTAGCCAGTGGTTCTTCCCAGTGTGAATTGTTTCATGTGTTTTGCAATGACTGTATGTGGTAAAAGCTTTGCCACATTGTTATATGCATAGGGTTTCTCCACCAGTGTGGAGTCATTGATGTATTTTACAAAATCCATGTGTGGTGAAAGCTTTCCCACATTCTTCACATAAACAGGGTTTCTCAACAGTGGAAATTTTTTCATGTATTGGACAATGAGCATTTCTGCTGAAACCTTTCCCACATTCCTTACATATATAAGTTTTCTGCCCAGTGTGAAGTTTTTCATGCATTATGCAATATGTAATTGTGGTAAAAAAATTCTCATGATGCTTATATACACTGGTTTTATCTTGAATATGAACTTTCATGTTGCTTACAATGTCCATGTTGGGTAAAAGCTTTCCCACATTGCTTACATATATAGGGTTTCTCTCCAGTGTGAATTCTTTCATGTTGCTTACAATGTCCAGGTCGGGTAAAAGCTTTCCCACATTGCTTACATACATAGGGTTTCTCTCCAGTGTGCATTCTTTCATGTTTCTTACAATCTCCCCGTGTGTTAAAAGCTTTCCCACATTGCTTACATACATATGGTTTCACTCCAGTGTGAATTATTTCATGTGCCTTACAATTTCCATGTGTGGTAAAAGCTTTCCCACATTGCTTACATACATATGGTTTCTCTCCAGTGTGAATTCTTTCATGTTGCTTACAAAGTTGATGTTGGGTAAAAGCTTTCCCACATTGCTTACATACATAGGGTTTCTCTCCAGTGTGAATTCTTTCATGTATTTTACAACTTGCCCGTGTGTTAAAAGCTTTCCCACATCGCTTACATACATATGGTTTCACTCCAGTGTGAATTCTTTCATGTTGCTTACAATGTCCATGTTGGGTAAAAGCTTTCCCACATTGCTTACATATATAGGGTTTCTCTCCAGTGTGAATTCTTTCATGTTGCTTACAATGTCCAGGTCGGGTAAAAGCTTTCCCACATTGCTTACATACATAGGGTTTCTCTCCAGTGTGCATTCTTTCATGTTTCTTACAATCTCCCCGTGTGTTAAAAGCTTTCCCACATTGCTTACATACATATGGTTTCACTCCAGTGTGAATTATTTCATGTGCCTTACAATTTCCATGTGTGGTAAAAGCTTTCCCACATTGCTTACATACATATGGTTTCTCTCCAGTGTGAATTCTTTCATGTTGCTTACAAAGTCGATGTTGGGTAAAAGCTTTCCCACATTGCTTACATACATAGGGTTTCTCTCCAGTGTGAATTCTTTCATGTATTTTACAACTTGCCCGTGTGTTAAAAGCTTTCCCACATCGCTTACATACATATGGTTTCACTCCAGTGTGAATTCTTTCATGTTGCTTACAATGTCCATGTTGGGTAAAAGCTTTCCCACATTGCATATATACATATGGTTTCTCACCAGTGTGAATTCTTTCATGTTTCTTAAAATATCCCCGTGTGCTAAAAGTCTTCCCACATTTCTTACATACATAGGGTTTCTCTCCAGTGTGAATTCTTTCATGTATTTTACAACTTGCCTGTGTGTTGAAAGCTTTCCCACATTGCTTACATACATAGGGTTTCTCTCCAGTGTGAACTATTTCATGTTGCTTATAATGTCCAGATTTGGTGAACCCTTTTCCACATTGCTGACATACATACGATTTCTCTCCACTGCAATATTTTTCATGGATCTGAATATTGTGGTGTGTTTCTGCTTCTTTCACATTCACATTACCTTCTGCAGTACAAGGGAATACTTCTTTACACTGATTCCAAGATGTATGTCCATAAGATTTACCTAGCTTGTCATTTCTGTAAAAAAAAAAAAAAAAAAAAAAAAAAAACCACATATCAGATTGATAACCATATTACTAAGTTTTTATTGGAGATGTGAACAAAACTGTTTGCAGTCTCGCTGTTTGAATCCCCACTTCATATGTTTCACTTTTGTATTTCATTAACTATTTTTATGAGCAGCATATGTAATCATTGTCTTTAGATTTCTTACTGTTTTTTTAAACTTTAAAAGTGGTATCATTTCTACTTATTTTGTTTTTTTTAGTCTTTTCTTACATTAAATAAAAAAAAGAAACATTCACAGTGAAATGGGTGTCAGTTTAATGACTGCATTAATGTCAATTTCTGTTTTTAATGCCTGCTAAGAAATTCTGACCGGGAAGTAACAGAATGCCCTTGTAAGACATGTTGAAAACAACCATTCCCAAAAGACTAGTACACATTTGGAAATCTTAAAATTTGGTACCTTTTGAAATGCAGAATCTTTATCTTCACTTTGGGCATGGGTACATATGTGTATCACATACAGATCATTCTGATATGTTTTCCCATCACAATCTCCCTTCTGTCCTTAACCTGTAGTTCCCTTTTCCATATGGTCAGTCTTACTTTTCTCCATTAACTCACTTTCATTTCATTCGACAATTTATATTTTGGTTTCTCAGCTAAAAGAAATCCTGTGACCTTTTAGGTTTTATAGCTGAGCTATTTCACCGAATTGATGGGAGAAAGAACCACCTGTTTCTTATGGCAAATGACATTATAATTATTTATTTTTTGACATTATATAACACATTTTTTTCTTTTCCATGCTGGGAATGAACAACAGCTATTAGCATAAAATCTATAGCTTTTAAAATATGTTTTAAGAGATTTTTGCTGACCATTAAGCTGTGAAGTTTGAACTTGAATTTGCCTTTCTGCAAAATCTGATTCCTAGTGTGCTGGATTTACAAGAATGCACAATCACAGAGAGTCTATTAACATTTTCCTTCTCCACAAATCCAGTGATAGATAGCTAAGCTTCTTCAAGGCCTGATCTATTATAACTTTATCTGCTTTGTAAATGAGTAAGTATGTACCAGTATTTTATGTGCATCTTGAATTTTTAAAAATATGTCCAGGACAAGTGTGAGGGGATCAATTTCTAGAGACAACTGCACACTGATATTCAGAATGAGTGCACTTAACATTCTACCAGCCTTCTAAGAATTTTAGTCAGAATGGCTGATGCTTTAGAGCATGGCTTGGAAACACAAGAACTCTGTTTTATTTCAAATTCTATTGCAATCTTAGCAATCTTTAGATAATGAATGTGTTGTATTCACATGTATATATGGGTAGAAAAACTGAAGGGAGAATGTCATAACTCCTTATACGTCTTCGGAGAATATTACTGACAATAAATTGAATGGTGCCTCATTTCTTTGGCGGTATTTTTCTGCTGACTCACTAATTACTCAGGAACATTCCTTCTCCTTATGAGTGTGAATTACCTTAAGTATCTCCAGTAAATTTTGCATTCTTTTTCAGGTTCCTGGATATCCCCAAGTCCTCCTGAATTGTAGACATAGAAATACCAGCACTCATTAGAATAATACACACAAATTAATAGATTTTGTTTAGAGTTATGATATAATATGTCCAGGTCTGAGTTATTTTTAAAAATATTTTCACATTGTGTTTAATGAAAGAAACAGCACTGATCAGCGACATACAACATTCTGACAGCATGAGTGACAAAAGTGTTTTGTCCTTACCTATTGCAGCCATGTTCCTAAAGGTTTCGCCCATCACATCTCTGTAGAGGTTCTTTTGGGATGGACTCAGCAAAGTCCACTCCTCATTGCTGAAGTTCACGACCACATCCTCAAAGGTCACCATCTCCTAAAGGATCACACATATATTTCTCACACGAAGGTTGAGAAACCAGGTTTGGGATATCTTAAATTCTCTCCTACAAATCTGAATCAAAAGCAAAGTGTGGTGGTATATATCTATAATGCCAGCACTCAAAAGGCTGAGGCAGGATGGTTTCAGTGAGTTCAGGGCAATTTTAGGCTCCATAGGGTGTTCAAATCCAGCTGATATACATATAGAAAGCTTGTCTCAATAAAACAAAACTAAACTAAACAAATACAACCAAACAAAACAGCTGAATGAAGACTGATTTCTTCAAATTTAAATCCATGTCTTGGTCATTAAGTTTGTGTATATACGCATTTTTGAAGACAGCAAATTTGATGATAGATTGCAGCTCACTGCTACTGTAACAGTGAAATAGGAGCACTGATTTTTGTGCTGAGTCACTGCAATATTCCCTGTGTACTGTCTGTAATGCAGAGCTCACAGTGAGAAGCCTCAGGACCAGCATCCACAAAGCACAGAGACAGATAAATATCCCATCAATCAACTGGGAGGCCAAGCAAGTACCTCCCTTCCCTGGTAAGTGGTGGCAATGTGGCAGACTGTGGCCCATCCAGGGGGCAAACCAGCAGCAGCTCCTGATGTTCATGCCATGCTGGAATTTAAGACACTTGGAAGGCAAGCAAGCACCACTTCTCCCTGGTAAGCAGTGGTGGTCTGGCAGAATGTGGCCCTTCCAGGGGAGAACCAGCAGCAGCTCCTGAGATCCATGCCATGCTGGAATTTAGGACACTTGGAAGGCAAGCAAGCACTACTTCTCCCTGGTAAGCGGTCGCGGTCTGGCAGAAGGCGGCCCTTCCAGGGGGAGAACCAGCAGCAGCTCCTGAGATCCACACCATGTGGGAACTTAGGATGCTGTGAAATCAAACAACCAGCCTGTCTCCCTACTAAGCAATAGTGAACCTACTGATGCACGGCCTAGTATCAAACATCCCACTTCCCTACCCCTCTTCTCCTGTCACCCCCCGTTAGCAAATGGGGACCAGAAATTTGAGTGTCTCCTGGGAAGCAGACCATAACAAATAAGGGGGACTTCTTTCTACTATCTCTTTGAAGGCAAATATTTTTATTACTGTTTTGCTCTATTCTGATTGATGGTATTGCTCTATTCAATATTCTGTTTTGGTAAGAACTATAATGTTCTGTATTTCATCTCATTCTGATGTATGTGTTTGAAAGAACAAATTTTATAAAGATAATAAAATATACTGTGATACCTATTACTGTTATCGAGGTAACCTGTTGTGAAGTTGTGTACCAATTTCACTGTATGATCTTAGTTGGCCTTATTCTGCCTTGTTCTGTTTTATTTTACCATTTTCAAAATTTAAAAAAAGAAAAAAAATCTCATCAATCACTTTGATAGGCTGCAGATAATGTCTCTTCAAATCTCATTTAGGCCAGTGAGTACTTTGTTCTTAATATACTTCAGCAGCATTTTGAAACATGAATTTTGTTTCATAGAACAAAACATAAATAACGTTCAATATGGTACACAAATAATACCTCAAATGTTAGTGGAAAATGCTGTTTTTAAAAAATAAGTATATAAAATGGAACCAGGCCCAACTGTAATTTATAGCTCACTGTTCCCAAGCGATCACTTTCAATTCAGATATAAGGAATATATCTTTTGAGGCTGGTGAAGGACTTCTTCCTTGAATTTGGGGCTATCTTAATTTACAGAGCTGTCTAAAGTAGAGAAACCCTGACTGAGACACCCCACAGACAAAGTGAAACTTGAAAAGAGACTGCATATGACACCTTTGGTTTCTTTTTAAAAATTATAGCCATAAAATATGGAAAAATTCCAACAATATTCAACACTTTCTGGGAAACAATGTGGATATATTCCATACAACAAAGAAAACACTTTCATAGTTGGGTATTTAGCTCAGTGGCATGAACGCCTGCCTGGAAAGCATAGGTCATGAGTTCGATCCTTGGTACAAAAAAAATCCACATTTTAACTTCATGACACTGGGGCATAATTAGAGATAATCTAAATTAGATCTCAAGTATGGAACACAAAATTCATGGGTTGACAAGGATGTGAAATACTGATTGTTGCCAGAGCTGCTGTTGATCACCTCCAGGAAGCAATCAGAACCCAACTTTAACTTTACACTTACTCTAAGAACTACCTGAATTTCAGTGAAGACCCTCTCTGTTGTATGTCCTGCTATTGGCTTCCTGGATTCTGTCAGTCACTTGCACATGCTTTCCACACTTCTCTGATCCATTCTCAGCAGGAAAACCTTCATGCCTAACTATTGATATCACTGCAAAATTTCTGTTTAGAGCTTCTCCTTTACACCACTTCGTAAATTCCATTGCAAAGCATTTCCATTTTTAAACTGTCTATGAACAACCAAGACACTAAATCACCTCTTAATTCAGAGATGACACCCCTATTCCTTTCCATTGAGAAGGATATCACGTGTATATGTGCATGCAAATGCCTGAATTTCAGCATTTTTTGATGAGAATTTAACAGGTAGCCCTTTCTGGAATTTGTCCTTCACAAATTTTTACCTTGTCCTTGATAACACTTTCATATTTGCTTCATTTTTCTCAGACTTCAAAACTCTATGGCTGTGCTCTATTCAGTGAGCAAGGGTGCCACCTAAATAATTAAGTATGTTCAGAAATTATTTTGCACTGTTCTGTATAATACACAGGAGTTCACTAGTGGTTTGGGAAGCCTTTCTCCACTGAGGCACACTACTACACATCTCTGAATTCTCAGGACCTTTGTGACTACCTGTCATGAGGATGGAAATATGAGAACATACTATAAATTGAGGAGATCAAAAAGCTCAAGTTTAAGTTGAGTCATTGTGGCTATGAGGCCCTGCATTACAGACATTAATAAACTCCGGACATTCTAGATTTGCTACTCTGAGGAAAGAGAGTATAGACCTAGCTCATTACTGCTCTACAAGCTACAAATCATCATAGTCAGGGTCTTCTCAAGATTCTTCCAATGCCTAAGATGGTGCAGTTTCCAGGCCAGCAGTGAATTTCAAAGATGATACTTGAGTCTGCTGCTGTAATAGTGAAGCCATGGTTCTGGGGACCCCAAACCAACCTTGCCAACAGCAAGAAGCAAAAGGGACAGTGAGTGACCCATGGCCAATGCTGGAGGACCTCAGGAGCTGAAGCTAACTAAATACCTGAGGCTCCAGACACAGGAATTACTTCTACATACTTGTAACTGGTTTCACCCAATCCACCCTATCTCTGGGCTCCCATCCACAACCTCACCATTCCATGGCTCCAGGATCTCTCAGGTTCTTTGCTAATCAGGCCACAGGACATCAAAAGTACTAAATGAGATCCAGCAAGCATTTTGCTACCAGTATCATACTCAGAAAAGGTAAATCATGCTGAGAAACCAGAAGATACAAAAGTCACAGCCAGCAATGGCCTGAAAATTGGACAGTTCATATAGCCTGCCCCTTCATCACTGATTGACTCCTGCTCTACAGCTCTCCTTCTGAGTCAAGAATAAACAGGGAAAGGAACCCCTCCCTGCAAGAGAGGATCTCAAATGATAGACTGTAGTGCAGAGACTTCTGGAGCTGCTGTTCTTCTACAGTGGTGATCTTGACCAGAGGAGTGTTTGTACTGAAGAGCTTTACCTCAGGCTTTTAATTTTCAAATCCATTTTATTTCAGTGAAAAAAGAACACATCAACTAAAATTAAATTTCAAAACATGTCAATCAGGGGGCAACACTGGTATATACACCACACACTGTAATCCCCAGATCATTCACCCATAGCACAAGACATCTGTAATCAATTATCCAAACAGTACTGTTACAGGCACCTGAGTTATTTAAATAGTATTGGCATAAGGCAGGGCTAGGTCCTCCAAGGAGTCCATGCCAGGAGAGGAGATACTGTGCAACTATGGGGAAGACTGACACCTCATGCTATGGGCCAAGTCTCAAGACAAATGATAAGCAAATTCATCCATATCCTAAAGACTGATATTCTAAATAGTCCCATAGCACTCTGAGGAGGTGAGGAGTCACCATTCAAAGAAAAGTATGCTTATCCTAAGGACTGACATTTTAAATATTTCCTATCATCCTGATGAACTCAGGAGTCACCCTCCCAAAACCCTAAGGGAAGTCACAGCTGCCTAAGAATGCCTGCTTTCTATGTGACTCCCTTTCCCCTTTTTTCCCAATTTAATCAACTTTACATGAACTTATAATCTTATTGGCTACCATAGCTCTGTCCCATCTTATGCCTGTCTGCATTGTGAGTTCCAATGTTTCCCCACCTTAAACTCATCTCACCACATGGTTTTACTCTATAATGGTCCCTAGAAGGACAGTGTTTGGCATCCCGCTCAGGACCCCTTCTCTCTCTCTCTCAGGTAGCTTTCTTTCTCACAATAAGTATATTGTGCTCTTAATTTCTGTTCTTCCTAAAATTCATTCTTTGACTTTAGAGAACACAAACTCATACCAAACCTATTAGACTGGGAGATTCATTACTCTATAGGAATATCATTATAAATTTTTCTCTTTCCTGAAGTCAGATAAATCAGTAGTAGTTTGTATTCTACAATGTTGATCTCACCTTTCCAGGGATGCTTGCACTGAAGGGCTTTATCCCTGACTTTAAGTGCTACTTTTGTTTTCTGAAAGTGAAATGATCTGTAATTTGGTTTGGGTATGGTAACAATGCTTTAAGGAAATCACTAAAAGTACTTCGTATGAAATAAAGCAAATAAAATGTTCTTAATGAAAATAGGGAAATATATCATTAAATTGAAAAAAATGATTATCACAGTTTTTCCACCTAGCACCAGCCAACATTTTCCACTTTCAAGTATGTGGGAAAACAAAAAATAAAAACAACTCAGAAAATAGCAATCCTATAAGGGACAGTATATCATTCACTGTAATTGCCATGTTATCTGCAGGTATTTCATAGACCACAAAAGAAACATTGAGCCTATTAAATATCAAGTATCCATTTTAATAAATGTGCCCACAGCACTGCATCATTGACAACTGTGATTTTTTTCTGTATGAGGGATTGAACTCATGACCTTGTGCTCTCCAGGCAGCTCCTTGTATACCTCAGCTCAATCCCCAGACCCAACAACTTTAGATACTAAATATGACTATTAACAATGTTTAATTTGCCATTGACATATTTAGTTATAAATTTTGTAAACCTACATTTTCACAAATGAAATTATTTTCTTTCCTTGTGGTTTAAATTACTTTTTTTTTTTTAGGTACCAGGGATCAAAGCTACAACCTAGCATTTTCCAGGCAGGCGTTTCTGCCTCCAGAGCTAAATCCCTGGCCTGTATTAATGAATATTTCAGTTTATTAATTCAAATAGAACTGTGATTTTAGCAAAGGATGTCAAGGTAGACAGAAATTGATATACAATCAGAGAGGAACTGGAACCTCAAATAGTCAATGCAAAATACTAAATACAACAATCACTGCTACAGGCACAGCTGAAGAAAGCCAGACCTCAAGGTGAAGATGCAGTGACTAGGTCTACATGCTCCTGAAGAGAAAATCAACAGCTAAAAATGTACTACAGTTACCACCACCCCCTCCAGGAAGTCCTGATAGGCATCAATTACCATACTCAATGACCAGAACAACTGGACTATTGTTCCCACAAAATGCCTTTGCTCTTTCCACATACCTTTTCTGGCTGACTTGTCCCTTGTTGAATAACATTAGTTAAGCAGCTATAAGTTATAGGTTGATTGTAGTCTGAGACCCACACTGTATCCACATTGTGACTTTCCTGTATAAATGACCCCTGACAATAGGTCTATGGCCAAAACACTTAAGACCATTCCTGATAATTCAGGGCTATTCTTCTCTCTTTTTTTCTAAGAAAATTTTTGAAATTCTTTTGGTTTATGATTTCATTTCTCAGTGTTGTGAGTCATTAAACTTGATGCATTTGATATCACACAGCGCAGGATTATATTTCTCTTATCTCAATTTAAATATGAAATGTCTGCTAAAGTCATTATTCCAAAGCCAGAATTTCAAGCTGCTTGTTTGACCTGAGTTTAAAATTTCAATGAGCTTTTAGAAATCCTCAGTCTAATGAACTGCAAGTGTACTGGAGGAAGGAGGTCACTGTTGTCCTGTAGCACAATAGGTGCCATTCCTAAGTATGTGTTTGTCACTGCCTCCTGGATGCCACTACATGACCTTCTTTCCTCTGCAGCATCATTCAATAATTCCCATCTTACATAAGTCAAATTTCACTCAGCTCTATTGTTTGTTTTCAATAGTCTTTCTGTCTAATTGGTTGTTATTTTGTTTTTTGTTTTTTTTTTTTAGTTTTTTGATTTAAAGACATAGTCTCACTTTGGAGTTCTGGCCAGCCTTGCACTCACTATGCAGGTTAGGCTGTCTTTGAATACAAGGCCATTCTCCTGTTGCAGCTTCTTCATTGCTGGGGAAAAGAGCTGGGCATTATAGCACATGGCATTTGTCTTTTTCTCTTCTCCTTTTCACAACTATTCTTTCACTTCGGGGGCACTGTCATTTAATCCTGTGGTTTGCTTGTGTCAGTAAGGTTTCTGCAGCTCAAAGTGATTTTGTGAACAACAATATAGGAAGCCAAGCAACCCAATTGAGAAATGTGGAATTTCATTAGCTGGGCTCAGCACCACTTGTATACAGAAACCCTAACCCCATTTCAGGATCTGAACAAGAGGCTCTGAACTGGAAAGTTACAGATGTTTTAAAGATAGAGTCACAAAAAGATCCTGTTGGAAATCATTTAGCTAGAATCTTAAAATAATTTTTGAATGACAGCTGTATTCTGCTTCTTTTGTTGAGCAGGATAATTTTTTTATTTGGGTACAGCTCATTTTGCTTTTCTCCTGGGACTTATACCCTGAGTGATTTTCCATTTTTCTGAGTGAAATACAGGGCAATAGTTAAATGCAAAGCTCAAGATGGCATCTATTAAGCCAACCTACAACACAGCTAAGTTACAAGTCTCAATATTTTTTAGGGTAAAAACACACATATCATTAATCCCATACTCAAGACGCTGAGATAGGAGTGCTGCTTTGAGGTTAGGGCAATTCTGTGCTCCATAAAGGGTTCAAATCTAGCTCATATACATAGAGAAAGCTTGTCTCAATAAAACAAAACTAAACTAAACAAATAAAACCAAACAAAACAGCTGAATGGAGACTGATTTCTTCAAATCTTAATTCCACATCTTGGGGATTTTTTTGTATATACACATTTTTGAGACAGCAAATTTAATGCTATATTGCAACTCACAGCTAATATAACAGACAAATAGGAGCACTGATTCTTATGCTGAGTCACTGCAAGAGTCCCTGTGCACTGTCTCTAAAGCAGAGCTCATATGAAAGCCTGCAGGACCAGCATCCATAAACACAGAGGCAGACAAATATCTCATCAATCACTTTGATGTACTAACAATGATACCTCTTCAAATCTCATTTAGGCAACTGAGTCCTTTGTTCTTAATATACTTAAGCAGATTTTGATATTTAAATTTGGATTCATAGAACAAAACATAAATAACATCAAATACGATACATAAATATTAACTCACATGTTCATGGAAAACTGCTGTATGTAAAAAATGTATAAACAATGAAACCAGGTACAAGTTTCAAATTATAGCTCAGTGTCACCAAGTGATCACCAAGTGATCACTCTCCATTCAGATATAAGAAATATATCTTGGGAGGGTGATGCCTGATAAATTCCTTGAGTTTTGGGCTAGCCTAAGTTACAGAGCTGTCTGAAATAGAGAAACCCTGACTGAGCCACCCCACAGACAATGTGAAACTTGAAAAGTGACTGCATATAACACCTTTGGTTTGCTTTAAAAATTATATCCATACAATATAGAAAAATTCCACAATATTCAACATTTTCTGAGGAACAATGTTGATATCATACATAGTATACAGGAAACAGTTTCAGACCTGTGTATTTAGCTCAGCAGCATGAACACCTACCTAGCAAGCTTGAGATCATGAGTTCGGTCCCTGTTAAAAAAAAAATTCAAATTCCACCTTCATGACACTGGGTCATAATTAGAGATAATCAAAACTAGATCTCAAGTGAAGAACACACAATTCATGGGTTGACAAGGATGTGGAATAGTGATTCTTACCAGAGCTGGTGTTATTCACCTCAAGGAAGAAATCATAAGCCAACTTTAACTTCATGCTTACCCTAAGAACTACCTGACTTTCAGGGAAGACCCTCTCTGTTGTATGTCCTGCTATTGGCACACTGTGTCCTGCTAGTCACTTCCACATCCTTTCCAAGCTTGTCTGATCCACCCTAAGCAGAAAACCATTCATGCCTTAACTACTGATATCCCTGCACAATTTCAATTTAGGGCATCTCTTTACATGAATTAGTAAAGTCCATTACAGAGCATTTCCATATTTAAACAATGTATATGATCAACCAAGCTATTAATTCACCTCTTAATTCAGATATGACACCCATATTCTTTTCCATTCAGAAGGATATCACGTGTATATATACATTTATGCAAATGACTAAATTTAGGCATTTTTCAAGGAGAATTTAACAGGCAGCCCTTTCTGGAATTTGTCCTTAGTGAACACACTTTTCCCTGCCCTTGGTGACACATTTATATCTGCTTCATTTTTCTCAAAATTTAAACCTCTATGGATGTTCTCCCAAACATCATCTATGAGCATATGTGTCACATCAAGTATGTTCAGAAATTCTTTGCATTGTTCTGTATAATACACAGTAGTTCATCCGGTGTTTGGGGAGCCTTCCTCCACTGAGGCACATCACTACACATCTTTGAATTCTCAGAACCTTTACCTCCACCTTTAATGAGCATGTAAATATGAGAACATAGTATAAATTTAGACGATCACAAAATACATAAATGTATAAGTTTAAGGAGAGCAGTTGTGGCTATGAGGTCCTGCAGCACAGACATTTATAAACTTCTGGCTTTCAGATCTGTTGCTGACAGGAATGAGAGCAGAGACCTAGCTTATTACAGCTGCACCCAGCTTGAAACCCCTTCGGAATCAGGGTCTCCTCATGCCCTCTCCTGTGTCCAGACTGTTGGAGGAGTAAGGGCAGCAGGCGATTTCAAAAATGACATTGTGGCCTGGTGGTATCACAGTGGCCACAGCTTTCTAGGGACTCAGAAATATCCTGACCCCAGTTAGAGGTAAAAGGGACACAGGATGACTCCCTGCTAGCACTAGAGCACCTCAGGGTCTGAGGCTAAGAACACAGGCTCTAGACAGCACAGCTACTTCTCACCACTGTTTTTTGTTTTTGTTTTTCTTTTTTTTTTTTTTTTTGGTCTTTTTCCTTTTTATCCGTACCAGGGATTAAACTCATGACTGCCTGCTTTCAAGGCAGGCGCTTATGTCGCTGAGCTAAACCCCCAATCCCTTCTCACCACTTCTAACTGGTCTCAACCGGATTCCACCCCATTTCACTGCTCCCATCCCATAACATCACCATTGCGTAATTTGGAGGTCTCCCAGGTTATTTCTAAGCAGTCCACGGAGAACAGAAGCAAAAAACAGTTGTCTAGCAAACATCCAGCCCTCCCTTTTTTGCCCTGGCCTTGCAATTGACGCCATGACACCGGAAGAGACCGCCTACCTTGGACTGCCTGATTGGACAGATCTTACAGCAGGCCTCTTCATCACTGATTGGCTCCTGCTCTCCTGTCTACCTTCCCCACCAAGAATAATTATGAAAAAAAAACCCACCCTGTAACTGTGGATCCCCAATGAAAGATGGAGACTTCTGGAGCTGGCTGTCTTCTGGAATGTTGACCTCAGCTCGTCTGATGGGTATTTGCACTGAAAGGCTTTACCTCAGTGCTTGTTTTTTCTCCCAAACCCATTTTATTTGAAAGTTAAAAAGTAAAAAAAAAAAGTGGTCTGCCAGGTGCCGCGGCCAGTGCGTGGAAGGAGTCAGGCAAGAGACTGAAGACACAGGGAGACCAGTTGCTCAGGAGGCAAAAGGCGATTTATTGAAGGACTACAGAGTTTTTATAATGTTTCAAAACAAAGAGTAGTACAAGTCACTTCAGGACACTTTCTTGTGCACACAGCAAAGGTAAACATGCTCCTGGCCCCGTGAGAAACTTCTATGTTGTGCAGCCCAGGAGGTAAACATGTTCTTGGGCCCATGAGAAACTTCTATTGTTTATGTTATGAAGCTTTTCCCAGGTTAATATCAGCGCAATGCTTTGTCTAGAAGGCTGAGGTTACTGCAGGATGAGGAACTGGTTGAGGTCCAGCTTCATTGTGTGGTTTCCCACAACTGTTCACTGCGGGACCCCTGGCTCCCGCTCCCAACATATCCCCCTTATTTCTTAAACCAAGCGTCGCATGGGAATTTCATTAGCAGTTGATTCTGACTTAAAACGTTTCAAGTCCAAATGCACGTTTCTCATTTGCCCAACAACAGTTCTCACAAAATGTGGAAAAATTGTTATCATGACAATAAATGCTAGAGCTCCAATACCAGCTAGAATGATAAAATGCGAAATGCCCGTGAGGCTTGGAAAATGGCTGGTTAATGCGTTGAATATTTGCTCAGTTTCTTTTGCTAGGTCAATGATGATTTATGCAGAGCAATTTGTCACATATTTATTTGCTGTTTCTATTTCTTCATCCAAGAACTGTGTATTTCACCTCAGTTGCAGATTTTTGGATTGGGTCTTTAAATCTGGGAAGACTGAAATTTTTAAATTTTCTATACTCTATTATAGTAACACTTTGTCTGAGGAACAGTTGGCAAACATTTTCTCCCACGTTGTGGGTTGTCTCTTCACTCTGTTAGTGATTTCTCTTGCTGTTAAAACGTTTTTCAGTAGGGTGAGATTCTCACTTAATTCTCTTTGATTTTTGCTGTTCAATCCAAGTTTTCTTCATAAAGTCTTTGCTTACATCAATGTCTTCAAGAATTTTACTTACTCTATCTTGCAGCAGATTTAATGTTTCTGTTTTAATATAAGCTCTTTGGTCTATTCTGATCTTAGCTTAAAACACATTGAAAGATAATATTCAGAACGTATAGAGCCAGTTTTTCCAGCACCATTTATTAAAGAGGCTGCTTTTCTTTCAATGACTCTGTTTGGCACCTTTGTCAAAGATAAGATGGTTTAGTGGTCTGGGGTTGTTTATCCATCTTCTAATTTGTTTCTTTGATCTTTGGGTCTCGTTTTGTTTGTTTTGTTTTTTGTCAGTACCACACCTTTTTTTAAAATCACAATACCTTTATAATATAATTTCAAGTCAGGTATTTTGATGAACCCTATCTTTTCTTTGTTGCCCAGGATCACCTTTGCTACTCTAGGTCTTTTCTGGTTCCAGTTGAATTTTAGGATTTATTTTGTGTAATTCTTTGAGATATGCTACTGGGTTTTGATTGGGATTGCACTAAATCTGTACAAAAGCTTTGGAAGTATGGTCATTTTCACTATATTGAATTTCCCTACCTAAGACTATGGGTTAGCTCTTCATTTTAGAATATCATCTTCAATCTCCTTGTTGAGAGTACTGTAGTTTACAGTGTAGAGGTCATTTACATCCTTTGTTAGATTGATTCCTAAGTATTTCATTTTGTTGGATGCTATTGTAAAAGTTATTGTATTCTTGATTTCTCTTTCCATGCATTTTTTATTCTTGTTTAAGAAGTCTATTGATTGTTGAGTGTTGCCTTTGTAACCAGCTATATTACTGAATTTGCTTCTTAAACTAGAAGTCTTTTGGTGGAATTTTTAGGGTCTTCTAAGTAGAGTATCATGTCTTCTGCAAATAATGATAGTTTAAGATTTTCCTTTACTATCTTTATTGCTTTTATTTCTTTCTCTTGTCTAATTGCTCCAGCTAGTTTCCAGGACTATATTGAATAAGAGTGGAGACAGTAGACATCCTTGTTTTGTTCCTGATTTTAGACTGAAAGCTTACAGTTTTTGTCCACTTAGTATGAGGTTGACTGTTGGTTTTTAATAAAAGGCTTTTATCAGATTGAGATAAAGATCATCTCTCCCAATTTTTATAGGTTTTTTATTACGAATAGGTGATGGACTTTGGCAAAATCTTTTTCTGCATCTATTGAAAAGATCAAATGATTTTTGCTTTTGGGTTTGTCAATATGGTGTATTATATGTATGGATTTATGTATGTTGAACCACCCCTCATCCCAGGGAATAATTCCACTTAATCATGTTGTAAAATCTTATTAATGATATTCTGCAGTCTGTTTGCCAGTATCTTATTGAGGATTTTTGCTTCAATGTTCACTAGGCAGAATGGTCTGTAATTCTCTTTCTTATTTGGATTGTTCTCTGGTTTTGGTATCAGGGTAATGCCTGCTTCCAGGAATGAATTGAGAAGTACCATTTCCCATTTGATTTCATTAAATTTTGAGAAGTGGTGGTGTTAGGTCTTCTCTAAATTTCTTATTTATCCCTGCCATTTCATGGCTACCTCTGCTTTCTTTCAAGGATCAGTGGACTCTTTCCATAATGGGCTGCAAATGTTTTCAGGATTCAGGTTCAATCCTCCAGGAATAAAAAATCCCCCGATGTCAGAAAATATTCTGAGAACAGGCCAGGGCAGGACACAACAGCACAGAGTCAGAAGTCTGTGTTAGAGGCAGCAGACTTTATTTTCATGATTTTCACTGATTTCTATTTATTTTCCACCTAAAAACCAAGTATGTGAACACAAAAGAAGCACAGTTACTGTGTAAAGTGAAGACATTACATTTAAATGATAGTAATGGTCTGCAACAGAGTAAAGATGAAATAAAAGCAAGCATCAATTCTCCAAGACAAGCTTGCTACTCATTCAGACTCATAAAAATGCTGAATTCTGAAAGTGATCATATTGCCAAGCATGGGGGTGACAATTATTGCTGAAATGGAACCAAATTCATAATCCAATTAAACATTTCCTTCTGATGAGGCAGGGACACCCAAGGACTTCACACTCTAAGTTCCCCTTGCCATATAGTTCCCTTGTCACTAATTGGCACTCAGCTGTTCAGGATTTTAACATTCCTAGAAGTCATATATTTCCTAAAGCCTGATGATCCAATTTATAACACCTTTTTGGCTTCAGAAATCTGTAGGATATTACTTTGATCGCTTCTATATGTATACACTGCAGCCATGTATGTTGGAATCCATGAACGAAATCTGGCCCCTGGATCCTTCCTCTCAGGTTCTGAAACTGTTCTCTGGCTCCTTGACCTCATAAAAAAGTCGCCTTTTCCTTTTCACTTTTTTCCAAGATATTTATGCTTTGGAAACAGTCAAAACCAAACTTCCCTCATGGAAACAATGATATAAAGAATATATTTATTTTAAATTCTGTAAGTCAGGTATTTTGTACCTGTATAAAAGTAAAGAAATAAATATCTAATATAATTTAGGTAGCTGTATGTTCTGAATAATCTTCCAAATGCATCAACTCATTCTTCAACTAATTATGTAAATGAGTTTTAATCTATGAAACCCCTAACAGTTTTTTAGCTTTTACCTGTTTCAGTTTGACTCCAGCAATTCTTTGGAGATCAAAACCACATAATTTCCTGTACAATCCATTCTCTGCCAAGCAGGCATAACTGGCATCTGGTGAGGAATTCATGGTTAAAACAAATGAACAGCTAGAAACTCCGAGACTCATGTTATATAGTACTTAGCCAGTTGATGGAGGCCTCCTTTATTCTACCAATTTCACGTATAAGTACTGACTTAGAAAAGTTATGCAGAATACTCACAATGATGTAAAGAGGTGTATAATCATGATTTCTGAGAAATCACTATAATACCCCTCAATATGTTAATAAGGTAGCATATGTTGATAACAGCAATATATTTGTGGATAATAACACTTCCATCTACAGGTAAAGAAAATTTACATGCAAAAAAATTTTCAGGAAATTTACAGTTATCCTATCTGAAAGTTAATTTTCTGTTGGGGGCTATGCCTAAATATCTAGCCTCCAAAAAAGTGCACAGCAAAGGACCAAAAGAATCAGAAAAATGGCATTGTCTTGAGGGCAACAGGAAGAGTGAAATCTTCTTTAGAACCCATAACTCTGCTAACCAGCCAGCCACCTGTCACTAGGCAGCCTATATTTAATCAGAACAAGCAAGGAAGTGAGTGGACAATGGTAAAAACCTGAGCAAGCCCCTTGTCAGAGGTTCAAGGAACCCACGGAGCAACAGGTGATTCTAATTAAGAAAAACTACCCAGGAAGTCTCCAGGTGGCCTCAGCTGTGGCCTATCTTGTTCCTTCTGGTGTCTCCTCATTATCAATTCAATCATGCCCAGGCCACACCACAGCCCTGAACATGTATTCATCTTCAACCCTTTCCAATATCTCTCTCTTTTTTTGTTTTGTTGACTCCCGGGATGGGTAGTCAGCTTAAGGTGGGGAAGCATTGAGGAGAACTCCAATTTAAACTCATCATAGTCCATCAGTTCATATCAGTAGTCATTTACCAGTATAGACAGCAATTGTCAGAAGATGTTAGTGATCCTAGCTTCCCCCACAGCCAAGCTTTTGCATTGCACGATATCTTCAGAGGCCAGGCTTTTCTGAAGGACATC